GAGGAATAGATGCTGGGCCAACTGCATGCATGCAACAAAGGCATGCTGCCCACTGCCCACCATGCAGGGGGGATCTCTCCCTGCACCTGTTGGGCATCTTCCCTGTGATCACTCCCTCAGGTCTAGAGTGCTGCTGCAAGAGACCCAGGGCCATCGCCTCTTGCCTGCAGGGACTTGAGATTCCCCTCCTAGGCCTGGTGGGGCCTTCCTGTCTCAATGGCCAAAGGGATCAGGGAGGGGAATTCCCCAGCTGCCCCAAGGGGCCCCAAGCTCCTTGGGAGTCAATGCATGAACAGGAGCTCTGGGATCTCCTGCCCGGGGCAACTGGCCAAGTCCCGGGGCTTCAGGAACAGCCCAGGGCTATGGGAGATAACTGCCTGTGGCCCCAAGGGGTCCACGTCCACCATCTGGATGGGCCCATGGGGTACACCGTGAAGCAGCATGAGCCCTGAGCTGAACATGGGCTCACCGCAGCATCCCTGCACTTTCCGTTCCTTGTCAGGGACCTGGCCAAACTTTCGCTTCCCCTGCACCTTGGATGGCCCAAGGGCGGACCTTCAAGTGGTAAGCCCACCCTCTCCAGACATCCAGGGCTCCCGACCCAATGACCATGCGGCCTCCACCCAGACACGGGCCTCCCGAATCCACTCCAATGGCGTCTGTGGCCTCCCTCCAAACCCAGTGGCTTCCACTCACATGCTATGATTGAGGCTGTGCTGAGACCCTGGTCACCATTGCCCACTGAAAGACACAAGGAGCCCAGGGTTGCTAAGCAATGGCTCCCCGGGAGTTGTCCTGGGGGGGAATGTGTTGGCAGGAAAGGCTGAAGGCCTGAGCCCCTCTTAGGCACCTGGAGACCCACAGTCAGTCCACAGCCACAGTGGGGAGCCTCAAGGGATTGGTCGCCTCAAGCCCCAAACTTCAGTGCTCCCCCATCACCCTAAGCATTCTCGGGATGCTGACCCCAGAATGGTCCCCTCCATTGGGACTCAGCGTAATCTTATTGAGCATGATTTTTAGGTCATCATCTCTCTTCAGGACAATATGAGTTCTCATCATTGACCCAAGCAAGGCACTGGTGATATGGGCGGGTGCTATCCATCCCCCAAACCTGCTTACCAGGGTTGCTTACTGTAGATTGGGATGACCTGGAGGTGGTGCAAGAGCTTGAGACATTGGGCCTCTTGCCGGGGCTGGGCCTAGCAAGACTTGGCCCTCAGGGCGGGATCTTCATCTGGGGATGGCATCTGGGGAGAGAGGGGTAGGCCAGCTGTCAAAACGCCCTGCTCCTTGGCACCTGCCCCTGCCCCCACAAGCTGCCAGTCTTCAGATCTGTGTTTTTAACCTTGGATTTGTGATTGAAGCATAGCATTCCTGAAAATCTGTGCCTTTTCTTTGATCCCATATGAATGGAACATTTGGTCTCCAAGAGATTTTGAGTATTGTTAATGTTCACCCCCACCCCCGACCGTGTGGAAAGCCAGGCACACAGGGTTCCTGAAGTTTATATTTTTCGGCCATGATTTACTGGGTTTTTGTTTGGGAGCCCCAGTTGGTGTGGCCCAGTCTTGGAAGCTGCGTGGAATAAGCCCCTTGTGGCATTCAAGGTTGTACCATGTTTCGTTTTGAACAGGGTTTGATAGGGCATGGAGCACCATGGAAGATCTCCCTTGCCACATTGTCCAAGCAGAATGCCGGGCTTACTACAGAGCATGATGCCCATGCACACACGATTTTGGGCCTCTTCTTGGAGCTCGGTGGTGTTGCATTTGTGTGGGTATGTTGCTTTTCTTCCTTTTCAGAAGTAATCTGTTTAATGAGAAGTAGGATATTTGTCAGAACAACCTTTCCATCTGTGTTATTTTTTGTGTTCTTTTTCTTTATATCTGTATAAACCATTTAATACATGAATATGTTCATAATAAGTGAACCAATGGATGTATAATTATAGTGTATTGGCAAATCCATACATATCTACTTTCTTAAAAACATTGTAAATTGGTCCCTAGTCTTCGTTTATGTTTCTATCTCTATTATCTATCATCTATCATTTATCTATCTATCTACCTATCTATCTATCCTCTATCTACTATCTATCTATCTATCTATCTATCTATCTATCTATCTATCTATCTATCATCTATCTATCCATCCATCTATCTGTTCTGTCACAAGTAGGCCTAGCTGTTCTGATTCATTATTTAAACTCTCTGCATTTTCAATAATTTTACTTTTTAGGCTCATTTATTTTTGGCTTCAATTTCATTTTCTTAGTACAATAATTTAATATATTTCAGGAACTCTCATGAAGTGTCAATGTGATTTTATATGGAATTGTTTTTCAGTAAAACATATTTCCCATCATTAAAAGATACTTGTTCCTTATGATCAAGGCAACTTTCAGTCTGTTTTTCAAAAGTCATGGGTTTTTTTTTATGTTTTCCTTCTATATTCTGCTAATAGCATTTAAATTGTGATTCATATACTCCATCATCCTGGTGTAAGGTGAGCCTATGTGATCAAAGGAACATGAAGTCATGAGGGAGTTCCTTTCATATTTTGAAGAATTTCCTATTTATTTCTACAAAAGTACCTTTGAAATAGTTTTTGTATTCCTGATTGTTTCATTCTTTAAGACATAGATTTATTTTCCAAGTACTTTGAACACCAGTGTCCTTATTGGGTAAAACTTATTTGGTCAGAGTTCCCATCATGAACAACTGGCAATACCAAAAGCTCACAAATTTTTTGCTTATTTTCATTTAAATTCAATTAGTCAACATATAGTACATATATATATATAATTTCTTAAATTGTCATAAGAAGTTTTGTCAATCCACCAGAGTCACAAGTAAGCTATATGAATTCTTTTCAGTGTCCTCCAACTAAGATCCATGGGATGAATTTTCGCATCTCAGCCTCTGACCACCATGGATGTCAAACTTTTCTAGAAGAAGTGGTCTGAGACTCAAATGCAGACTCTCACTGTTGTCATCTCTGAAGTGTATTTGATATATTTCCTCAACCTGGACACATACTGACTTGTGTCATGTTTCCCAGTGGCCATGAAGGACAGATATCCTCCACTGCCATCTTACACATTTCTTTAAAAATAACAAAGTTATGCTTTCCAGAGATTCTATCATGTCAGGATGACACAGGATGAAATCAATCCTCTATTATTTAGTTTTCCAAAAGGAGTCAAACATATTTATTGCCTTTACATGGGCTTACTCTTCTGCCCTAGCTTTTTTGTGTCCTGTATCTATGATCAAATGCATCAACTCACCTCATATTATGACAACCACTGCTTGAATGTTCAACTGAAGACACAATGAGGGAAAAAGAGGTATGGAATTGTTCCAAATGAAGGCTCCTTTGGGGAAACATGGATCATGTAATAAAGCCTAAAATATTAACATTTGTTAGGTACATGGAATCTTATAGACATTGTATAGCACAAAGGATTGCCTTGAGGTTATCTCAAGTCTGAAATTCTATGATTTCCCCAGTGATAATGCATAAAACAATGAATGAATGAATAAAAAAGAAATTTGTAAATTAATCAATTAATTAATACCTGAAGAATAAATATAAATTTACCTTATGAAAATGCTAAGCACCATTCATTCACCATAAAGGAGAAGTCCTTGTTTACAAACAAGCTTCTAGATTGGAAAAGCAGTCATGATGTGTCTGGTAAAATCAAGTTCCCTATGGTCCATTTTTTGTTTACACAGCAATAGTGGTATGTGGATAATTGGGCTTGGCTATTGGCCATGAATACCCATAAAATGACCTTGTAAAATTATGTAGAATTAGTTTTATGGAGTCTTGAAAATGTGTTCACTACCCATCACTGAGGCAAAACTTTGCATGAGGTTTTTTAGGTCATGGCCTAAAATACATTCTTTTTGTTCAGACTCCTCTTCCATGTTCTTGCTAACATCTTCCAATCAGCACTGCAAAAATTTTTCTTTGTAATATATATATTTATTTCTGTACTTTGGGCAAACAAGACCTCATGATGTAGCTGATACTATGGCTCCAAAATCTCAACATCATATTTATATAAGTACTTCCAAAATTGTTTTTTTTTTTCCTTTATGGTGCCATTTCTAAAGGATCTGTGTCTTGAGAAGAAGAACTTCAAATGTGAAGCTAGTGTTCCATTTGGCAAAGCTAAACAGATTAAGGTGCCAATTAGGAAAAACTGGCATCACCAATAACCCACGATTCCTTACACTGATATTTTAAAGACCTAATAATCCTCAGGGGCCATGATGTAGTTATCTGAATACCCAAGTGTCTTTTAGCCAAGACCGATTGGCAGATTAATTCTTGCCTTTCACTCTCTGGATGCCATGGACATGATCCTTCCTTAGAGGAATTTGTTTTGAGGATCTGATGATGATCCCAGCAGTTATTATCCCTTCAGTATATTAGAGTTAATTTTCAACCTCTGCACAGATAGATGGTAATGTTTCCTGAGGGGGTGCGGCTGGGTAGTGAAGGAAATATTTCCTCTATTTGGAGTGTGATCCATTTCAGGTATAATTAAAATGTTTCCAGCGATGCTATCCCAGTTGCCTGACTCCCAGACAGAAATCAAACATCTACAACACTTAGCTTTCTGAAAGTAGTCACTTATTTATCTTCTTAAGTCAGACCTCTTATATAGTCTAATTTTCTGTGTCACCTATATCTATGATCAAACACATCTACTCACTTTGAATTTTAATGCAACAGCAAAATTCTTTCCAGAACTTCCAACTGAATAACATGATGAGAAAAATATAGCTAAGGACTAGCCTTGAGGATGGCCCTCTGTGACTAAATATGGCTCACCAAATATAGCCTAAACTTGAGGATGTGTTGTTATCATGAAACCTATAGAGAAGTTTCCCTGAATGGACTTGTTGCTTGAAGACCCAAAACCCATTTCTCTAGAAGGGAAATATGGTTCTTCAACCTTTTGCTTTAGCATTACTGACTACAATGGGCCTCAGCATAAAATTTCTGAACATGATTTTTAGGTCATCACTTCTCTAGAAGATAATATGAGTTCTCATCTTTGATCCAACTACAGCATTACCTGCAAAATTACACACTTTGACCTATGCTCATCAGAGATAGATTTTGCAATTTGTGATGCCAAAATAGACATGACTTTTGCCATATACCATCATGAGCACTTGGCTGACATAGGTTAATTCTGTGGCAACAAACAGCGCACTTTTTTTAGAGTCATTTGTTGTAAGTTGTAAGACAGATTACAAAATGTTTTACTACATCTCTCATGGACTCACAATTTATCCATACTCTATGTTAAGCAATTATTATGATCATTTCTTGGAAAAAAATTACTTCTTACAGAGTTGATGCAGCTTTCATTCACAAGCAGAAAAAGGACATTATAATACTCTGGTTTCTCTTCAGATCATATAAATCTTTCGCCTTTTACTACAGATTTCCATGGAGAGGAACAGTTGTGAGTTTTTACTCAATTTTTTGAGGCCTCTTTGAACGAGGCTTTTTCAAAGAAAAAAAAAAAGAAAAAGGACATTATATACAGGTTTCTTAAGTTTGGATAAACATTCAGGTGGTGTTTGCAGACATGGGAGACTTTCTTTGGTCAATCTTATTGTATCTAGTCAAGAAGTCATGTCACGGTATTTGTCATGGTTCATTGCATATAAACTCAAATAAATCTTACTCTTTCAGCCATATGAAACTCTGGATCTAGAAATCAGATGTCAGGACACTTGAAATTGTGGTCACTTTATGAATCCTTTGTAACCATAAAAGAAGTTTTCATATCATGGCCAATAAGCTGTTGTAGTATGTTGTAAGTCCTCTTCAATGTCTTACAGTCTTGACAAAAACAGAACAAAGGAAAATACAATAATTAGTGTAAATATGTATACTTGCATATTTTGACCAAAGAAACGCACAAAATGGAGTAGGAACCATAGCTATGAAAAATTCTCATATACTTTCAATAAACTTTAAAAAGTAATGTTTTCTAAAAATGAGGGTTCTAGAGGGGAGGGGGATGGGAGGATGGGTTAGCCTGGTGATGGGTATTGAAGAGGGTACATTCTGCATGGAGCACTGGGTGTTATGCACAAACAATGAATCATGGAACACTACATCAAAAACTAATGATGTAATGTATGGTGATTAACATAACAATAAAAAAATTTAAAAAAGTAATGTTTTCTCACTCATCATCAGGAAAATACAAATCAAAACCACACACAGATCAGAATGGCTAAAATTAACAATACAGGAAACAACAAATGTTGGTGAGGAAAAGGCAAATACCATATAATTTCACTCATATATGGAATGTAAGAAACAAAACAGATGAACACAGGAGAAGGGGAAAAAGAGAAGGAAGCAAACCATGAGAGACTCTTAACTATAGAGAACAACTGAGGGTTGTTGGAGGGGAGTGGGTGGGGGATAGGGTAATTGGGTGATGGGCATTAAGGAGGGCACTTGATGTAATAAACCCTGGGTGTTATATGCTACCAATGACTCACTAAATTCTACCCCTGAAATTAATACTACACTATACGTGAACTAACTTGAATTTAAATAGAATATTGTAAAAAATAAAAATCAAAAATAAAATCATAAGGGCAAGATAATTAAGAAAAAATTAAGAAATCAGCTTATCTGTCCTATTAGAGGAACTTACTCTTCAGCTTTCATATTATTATAAGTAACTAAAGAATTTATCCTTAAAGTGCTTAATGAGAATTAAAGCCTGCTCAATTATACGTGTTGGTCTCACATGTGAAACATGCATCCACTTAGGTTTCTCCTTTACCTTAATGGTAGTGTGTTTATCAACATCGTCTGGTATCTGGTAGGACTCCATTTAATGGATGACCATCAGTCTGTCAGTGTAACACTTTAATAGAGACCAGGTCTCCTGTTCAATGATGATAACACATCTCAGGGAGATTTTTTTCAGCACCTGGTCACATGATGGCATAATTAGCCCAAGGAAACCCACAAACTCATTAAGTGTTATATACGATCATGACTGTTTTTTTTAAATCACATAATAAGGTAGGCTTAAACCCTAAATTTATAGATTTTCCAAACTCAAAGAAAGAAATACCATGCTTACAACAGAGAGTTAATATTATTTTTAATAAAAACAGTTGTAAGGCTTTGGGTTAGTGTGAGACATTGGCTTGATACAATTTAGTCCAATAATTGCTTAGGATATGGTTTATTCATTCTACTTGTCCTGAAGTTTGGAGATGATTGCAAGTAGCCAAATTTTGAATACTTGTAGGATATTACAAAGCTCCTGAATTGCCACAAATATAAAATGACCACCGGGTGATGGGTATTAAGGAGGGCATGTGAGGTGATGAGCACTGGGTGTTATACACAACTAATGAATCGTTGGACACTACATCAAAAACTAATGATGTACTATATGTTGGCTAATTGAACATAATAAAAAATAAATAAAATAAAATAAAATGACTTCTTATGGAATTCTTCATGTTTAGGAATTCTAAAAGTTTAGATGATATAATTTAGTAAGGCACTGTTCACAATTTGAGTATCAGCTTTAGCCTACAGACACATTTGTGGCCATACGGACATTATATATAACATTACTAAAAATATTTAATACCTTTGAAAGTTGGAGTCTCAGTTAAGTCCAATTGTCATCATACTCCAGGTAACATTGGCCTTAGACTTATCTTATGTGTTCTCTATAAAGAACTTTTCTGACAAACAGCACATCTTTGCATTATTTCTTGAATTATTTAATCCAATACAAGCATTACAAGATTCCAAAATTTTCAATATATTCCTTCTGTATGAATGAGTTGGTTGATTTTATGAAAAAGCCACCCATATATATGATTGAGGTAAAAGAAAAGTCCTATAATGTAATTCCCATTTTTCTATGGTATTCTTCTTAGCTCCTCTTGAATTCTAATTTTCTAATTCTTAGAGAGTTAGATGTTTCCAAAGTTATCATTCAGAGCTCCTGGATATGAGTAATAGGCATTTCATTTTACCAGTCCAAAACTTAGTATACCTCTTTTCATAGCTTACTCTAAAAATTCCTTTTTAAAAAAATATTTTATCCTGTTTTCAAATATAAGTTTTAAAATAAATAATATAAATATTTTAGAGAATTTTCAATGATCCTAATAAATCAGTAATTAATTTCCCATGTAATATTTTAATTGCTGTCAATGTTGAAAAGCCTTTATTCTTTCAAAGTTGGATGGTTGCACAATAGGCCACAAACAATATTTATTAACAATACAAATATTTACGTTAACACTGAAGGCTAGGGGCCCCTGGGTGGCTCAGTCATTAAGCGTCTGCCTTCAGCTCAGGTCATGATCCCAGGGTCCTGGGATTGAGCCCCGCATTGGGCTCCCTGATCAGCTGGAAGCCTGCTTCTCCCTTTCCCACTCCCCCTGTTTGTATTTCCTCTCTCACTGTCAAATAAATAAAATTTAAAAAAAGACTGAAGGCTAATCTATAGTGACATCCGCAATGTCAGAATAGGAGGTCTCTGGCCCTAATTCCCTCACAGAAAAATCAGTTTAGCAAATATACAACAAAAATGCCTTTGTGAGAATCCCAGGCCTCAAAGGTAATGTTTTAGCACACAGGGGAATGCAAAAACTAATTTAAAACATTAAAAATGGGCAGAGCAAAGGTTTTACTTTGTTCTTGTCACCCTTCCTCCAAGCTGGCACAGTACCACACTGAGAAAGATCTCCTTGGCACATGATTTCTCCAGCGGGGGAAGAAGAGGTTAAGACATACATCCAACTTCTCCAGTGTTTTGTACACTAAGATATCCACTTCTCTCTTGTCTCACATGGGACAGGAGGGAATTAGAATTGGTAGACCACATGTGGACTGTTAGAAACAAGGAAAAGGGACCTGGGCTCACAGGGACATGGGTTAATGGGTGCTGCAATTCTTAGCAGAAGCCCTGTGCCCCCACCAGCAGTTTGGACAACCAGAGCTCTTTACAGCAGCATTGCTACAATAAGGAATGCCCCCAGCCAGTGCCCCCACCCAACCAGGGAGCCCAGCCTGAACCACCATAGACCCCAATCAGCACTTCTGCTGGCCTCAAGAGCTGAGTCACCAACACACCCAACTGTGTAGCCCAGCCAGCAGTCCTGCCTAGGTAGGCAGCTCCACTGAAACTTAGAGCTCAACCAGTAGCCCTGCCAAATCACAGAGCCCATTCAGGGGCCCTGTCTAATGAAGGAGCCCAGCCAGGATCACCATCTGACTAGACAACCCATTCAGTGTCCTCTGCAACTGCATAGCCCAGCCAGTGTCCTCACCCAACCTCACAGCACAGGTGCCTTGCCCTGCTGGTACATGGATGCTAAAACTGGTCTACCCAGAATCCTAGGCTGGGCTGATTGGTGAAGGACTTTTCCCTGCTAAGCTAAGCTAAGAATGGAAAAGGTTACTACTTTCTCAAATGTGCACACACCAATAAGAGGATACAAAGATCAGAAAGAATTAGGGATATATAGCACTACAAAAGGAAACAAATAAAGCCCCAATAACCAATTCTAAAGAAACATATCTACAAACATCCTGATGAAGAACATAAAATAATTGTCTGAAAGAAGCTCAGGGAACTAAAAAAGAACATACATAGACAACTGAATGAAATCAGGAAAATAATACATGAACAACCAAAAAAAGTTAAAACTATAAAAATCAAACAGAAATCTTAGAGATGAATAATACAATGACTGCACAAAAATTTCAATAGAGAAATTCAACAGCATGTTCAACCTAACAGAAGAATGAATTAGTGAACTTGAAGACTAATCACTTGATATTACCTAGTCAGAGGGACAAAAAGGTAAATGAATTAAAATGAGTAAAGAAAGCCTACAAAAGTACAGAATATCATGAAGTAAAACAATATTTACATTTTGGGAGTCCCAGAAGAAGAGAGACAAAAAGGGGTAGATGTTCTATTTAAACAAATAATAGCTGATGGGGAGGGAAATGAAATTAATGAAGCCCAAAAGTCACCAAGTAG